GCCTGGTTGGGCCCGCTGCCGCTTCCGGTCCGGGAGTATCGTTACCTGGCAACGCAAACCACTGGCGGAAGGCAGAATAGATTGGGCAGTTTGGTGCAGTTTGAAGAGGCGAGTGCGGGCGGGCGCAAGAGAAGATGAGACAAGGCGGTGGATACAGTGAGTCACACGCCCAGGTCAGATCAGGGAACGGCTCGGGCGGTCTCAATTATAGCGATTGATTCTGTTTGTGTTTCAGGGAAGGAGGGCGGGGACCGCAGCGGCGAGAGCAGGGGCCAGGAGACGGACTCCCTTCCGCCGTCGGTCTCCAAAGCTCAGGCCAGCTGCGAGGAGGCAGGATCGGGTAAAATTCCTCTCTTACCCAAAACGCAGAGTCGCATTGGCACCTACCCCGGGAAGCGGTCTCAATTATAGCGATTGATTCTGTTTGTGTTTCAGGGAAGGAGGGCGGGGACCGCAGCGGCGAGAGCAGGGGCCAGGAGACGGACTCCCTTCCGCCGTCGGTCTCCAAAGCTCAGGCCAGCTGCGAGGAGGCAGGATCGGGTAAAATTCCTCTCTTACCCAAAACGCAGAGTCGCATTGGCACCTACCCCGGGAAGCACCATGCTGTGCAGTGACGCCATTGCACCCGTGCCGTGCCATGTGACGTCATGTCATCAGTACCGCCTGGCGTGACGTCATTGCTCTAACACCACACATTTATTCATGGCTTTTCGGGGTAAATGGGGATCAATCCCCCAACCTGGGAACATGTGGCAGCCTGTGTAATGAAAGCAGAGAGGTCCCTGTGTAATGAACAGACCTGGGTGCCAGCAAAACCATGCTGGTGGAGAAGAGGCCAGGAGCACCTCCTGCAGCAGAGGATGTGCAAAGAAGTAATGTCATGGGACTATAGCGATGCAGCTCTGTCTAAGATCCCATGATCACTGGGTGTTTCTTGCAAAATGGGAAGCAGTGAAATGGTTAACAGTGTTGCCATGACTGATCTTCAGAGTTAACTAGAGACAGGGCCGGCTTTAGGAAGTGCGGGGCCCAATTCAAACAATTTTGATGGGGCCCCACAGCAATTTTGGTTGAGCAAAACCCCCATTAACTACTCCCCAACCCCCGTTAGCCACACTCCCTGACCCACATTAGCCACACCCTCTGACCCCCATTAACCAGGCCTCTGGAGGTAACACTCTTGGGGCAAGATGGACACGTGACCAGAAGTAAAAAGGGTCATGTCACCCCTCTCAAAGGACTTTTCCCACCATCCTCCTACAAACAGGGATTAGTTTTGCCCCCACCAAACCTCCCTCATGCAACTATCCTGCAATTGCATTAACCCAGTGTGTGTGACATTAACCCGGCGGCAGAGAGACTGGGGGAAGTGTTCCCTCTAAGGCTATGTCTACACTCGCAGCTTCTTGCACAAGTACAGCCATTCTTGTGCAAGAACCCACAGAGCATCCACACCTGCCTGCTCTTGCGTAAGGAATTTACAGTACGGCGTGGTAAGCGTGCTCTTTTCTGACAGGTGAAAGCTCTCTTGCACAAGAGGGCAGTGTAGATGCTCAGCACGGATTTCTTGCACATGAAATCCCTATGGCTAAAACGGCCATTGGAGCTTTCTTGCTCAAGAGAGCATCCACACTGCCATGGATGCTCTTGCGCAAAATCACAGCTCGCACGTGGCAGTGTGGACGTGTTCTTGTGCAAGAAGTCTTACACAAGAACCTTTGCGCAAGATGTTCTTGCACAAGAAGTCTAGATATAGCCTAAGAATTTCCTCCCATAAGCAGAATGGATTTTGTGTTGTGCACCTGTACTGAGTTCATGTGGCTTGTTTGGATGTGCCACTGTGACACCCAAGTTATTAATAAATATTTTATAAACCTTTACCTTTTCTCTCTCCTGCCATGTCTCCTCCTGTTGCACCATCAGCTCCCCTGGTGCCTACTGCCTCCCAACTCCTCACTCTCCTCTGCTGTCCTGACTCCTGCCCTTCTCACTACCCTTAGCCCTCCTGCGACCTGCCCCCCGCCACCAACCCTTCTCTCCCCCCTGTGCCTACTCCTCCAGTAGCCCCACTCTGATCAAGTGAGATACCCCTCCTCATCCCCTCTTCTAACACCTCCCTCTACACACCTTTCCTGCTTCTGTCCTCTGGTGCTGGTCCCTCCCCTGCAGGTCTCTGCCCTTCTGCTTCACCCCAGAATCCCCCTGCATCTTCCCTTAGCCCTGAACCCTCCTAGTGCCTCCCCCTTCCCTTACTGCCCCTGCCCCCTTTGCCCTCTTTTTCCCTGATGCCCACCCCCTCACCACTCTCTGCCCTGTTTCCCTCCTGCCCCTCTGTGCCCTCATACATGACTTGCTCCATCCCCACCTTTCTCATGCCCACCCCTTCTTTCAAGCCTTCTCCCAGTACCTTCCCCTCCCCCCTCTAGTCCCCAATGTCCTTACCCTCTCCTCTCCCAGCATCACCCTGTCCTCCCTCCCACTGACACCTCCCCTCCTGCCCTTTTCCTCATTATCTCCACTTGGCCCCCTGGCATTTGTCTCTCCTCCATGCTGTCCCTTGCTTCCTTTCCCTTTCTTCTCCTGACCTGCCCCCCTTCCCTCAGCACAAGCCCCTTCCTCTTCCACTCCTTCCCCCTATTTTTCCTGCACCCCCACCTTCTGCATTCCAGTTTGAATCTGTGATCAGGCCCGGCCTAGCTGCTTCCCTGACCCCAGACCACGTGCCGGGCCTGGAGCTGGGCAGCATGGTTTTAAAATTTAAAGTCCCAGGCCATGTCGTCACGGCACACCTCAATTCCAAATTCAGAACTAGGCCACACAATGCAATGTGGCCCCAAAGAGTTTTAAAGTCCCAGGCCATGACGTCATGTCACGCCAGGGCATCCTCCCCACCCACCTGAAATGCCACGCATGGCAGCAGCGTGTGCTGGCGAGGGGAAGCCGCACTGAAAGCTGCACACAGCAGGGATGATCCGGGGCCGGGGTAGGAGGATGCGTGGGCATGGTGACTGGGGGGGGCTGGGACCCACTCGAGGCAGAGCCAGGAGAGAGACCTAGCTCCACATATTGCTGGAGCAGGGCCCCCAGCTCTGAATATTAACTCGCCTCCCATGGCCCGACACACTTCCAGGTTCAGAGGCACGGGGCCCCCTTAGGTCTGGGGCCCAAATCGGTCGAATCAGCCTAAGGCCGGCCCTGACTAGAGATGTGAATGGTTAACTGATTACCTGGTAAGTGTCACCCTCATTTACTGCGTGATGCTTACCGGATACCAGTTAACTGGTGTTCGGGAGCAGCCCCTGACCCATGGCCTTCTGCAGGCAGAGGGCTGCCCCAACAGAGCTGAGAGGCACAGCAACGCTGGGGCTGGGAGCCTCCCTGGGACTGGGAGCCCACTTAGTCAATTAACCTGTTAAATGTTCGGTTAACCTAACTGTTAGCAGATTAACTGATTAATCAGGATTTTACAGTCCTAGAGCTAACACCTCAATGAGATGAATAAGAGCAATTCACACTTCCTTGTTAGTTTTCCAAACTGTCTGGATACCCACAGTCATTCTCGAACCTAGAATTATTTTTTGTAATGAAAGCTTAAATTCCTTGCAAATTAACAGGTGCTTGCGCTGAAAGACTAGAGGAATTCAAGGTGTTTAGGGGCAAATAAAAAGCGAGTGGTAAGTTAGCCATGTTCTGAGGAGCATGTTTTGAAGTGACATTCCTCATGAACTAGAGCAATGGTTGTTAATCTTTTTTAATTTTCAAATGGAAGTACAGACATCTGCAGACCCTCAGGGCTCTATGGAGCAGAGGTTGAAAACCACTGGACCAGAGCGAAACAGGCAAGGGAGCCAAAGACACAATCCCCAGGTTAAAACTAAAGTTTTGGGCCCCACTTCATTCTGGTTTCTAGTGCTCAACTTGGCCATATGCAGTAGAATGAAGGATCCCTCAGGATTAGCTAACACCAATATTGCCTACCCCAAATATTCAAAAATCATGAGTCAGGCTTATACAAAATCATGAGCTTATGTAAAAATAATAAATATGGTGCTTTTTATTTTACTTCTGCTTTATTGGGCCTTTAGAGTACAATAGGGTTACCTTTTGAAGCTTTGTCCATAGTTAAGGGGGTTAGAAACTCTTTCTTTAAGCATGATGGATGAAATCACATATCCACTTGACACCATGAGCCAGGGCTTTAAAGAAAATAATAATTATCATGAGACTGAAGACAAAATCATAAGAGCTGGCAACACCGTTCTCAGGTCCTGAATAGTGAAGGAACAAGCCTTTCCCTCCCCAGTTCGAGCTCCAGTGCAAAGTTGATTTCTCTCTCTTTCTGTCTCTTTATTCTCTGACTAGACATTTAAGGTTTCTGGCTGTGAATTATACATACCACTAGAAGACTCATTCATCATCGCCCGGGTCCAGCGCTGGCCCAGAGCAGTAGGGGCTACATGGGGTGTCAGCACAGCTGCTGGAGGCGGGGGAGAGGCCATGCTGGCCTGGGAGTGGTGGGGACCACGCAATACAGTGGCTTAGGGAGTAGCCCAGCACGGTGGGGGCCGTGCAGCATCCAGTGGGGTGGTGGAGACAGTGTTCCCAGCCTGCAGCTACTCCTCAGGACTGGGGCACTTGCTGCTCCCCGTGGTCATTCATGAGTACATCTGCCCCTCCTATCACACCCCTCACTTTCCATTTGACGCAAAACAATTGCATTCCATTCACATCCTCTCACAACCAAAACCCGCACCTTCTTTAAGGTGTGATAAGAGGAAGCTGTATACTGAATTTGGGGGTCCTAGCTCTTACCCTTTAGGAGGAGTTCTTGAACAAATGGTCTCACGGATGGATGGATGGATGCACAAACTCTAAAATGACCAGAGCTGTCTCTTGGGTACAGGAAATTGAAGCAACAGCTTCAGCCCTGTGCTTTGGCTCCATGCTTCAGTGTGCGTGTGTCGTGCAGGGCTCAGTCTCTGATAGCAGCAGCCATAGGCACCAACTCTGTGGGTACTACAGGGTACCATAGGGAAAAAAAAGGTGGGTACTCAGCACCCACCAGGCAGTCCCCTATCAATGTCTCACTCCGCCTCTCCCAGTACTTCCTACCTTTCAGGAGGCCCCATGGATCAGCGTTTCCTGTTTCTTTCAGTGCTTATCACATGCCATGGAGCAGCTGTATCGCAGTGTCAGGAGGTGCTGGGGGGAGAGGGAGGAGTGAGGGAGCAGCGCATTTTGGGGAAGAGGTGGAACTGGACAGGAAGATGCGTGAAAGAGGCAGGATAGGGTAGGATGAGGTGGGAAGAAGCAAGGTGAGAAGGGGCCATTGGTGGCTGGGGTGGAGTGGGGGAAGGTCCTGGGCAGAGCAAGAGGGGTATATCCCCAATCCAATTAGAAACACAGGCTGATTTGTCCCATGCCCTGCACTCCCCCAGGGATGGCTCTGACTGTAACTGTAGGGTTTGATGCTTTTATTTTTCAGATAATTATACCTCAGGAAAAGAAGGTCAAATTCAACCGCAATCAGCACTAAAAGTATGCTAATTTGATCCAAATTATTAGCACAAAACATCACAGGATTTTGAAGCTTGATAACTGTAAACTGATTGTTTCAGTACATCCATAACTGTATATAGTACTAAAGTTTCCAGCAAGAAGACCAATTTGCTGATGTAGTCTGAGGCTATGTAGTTTGCCACTAAATACCTTTTCAGCTGCAATTTTTTCCTTTAATGATAAACAAGTTTTGTATGTTTTTTTGTTCTGTTATTTGACTACGTCCATATAATATCGTTTATCTCCTGTTTGCCCTTCTTCCACTAGTTGGGAACACACTTCCTAAACAAACTGTGTGCAGATTAGAAACATTTTACCCAATAATGATACTTATTCTTCTAGTTCATGAATTCATTGTATTTGTGAATGCTTATGATCCAATTCAGATTTGGTCACACAGGAGTTCTTTTTGCAAATGAGTCTGAATAGAAAGATGTTGGAAACTCCCAATTAATTTCAGAAAAGCCACTAAATAGCCTTTGGACAGTACAACTTTTCTCTAGCTAATCAGTGAGAAATGGTCCAAACTGGCAATCTAGAACTGAAAGGGAAAATGCAAGTATAATACAAAGAAATGTGCTGACACTTTCAGTAAGTATAATACAAAGAAATGTGCTGACATGTCAATCTGTACAAACCTCTCAGCTTTCTATTCATTTTACAAATTTAGATCCTTCAACAACAGCTGAAATCATTTCAGGCACTTCGGCAACAGACTCTGCTGAATGTTAACATGGTAAGAGCAGAAGTTAAATATTCCTAAAATAAAAGGAAAAACCCAACAATCTCCTAAACTAACTTTTTAAGACTGATCTGGTATCTTAACTAAGGTTTCAGACCAAACAACTTTATTTTGCACAAAACCCGATAAAACAAACCAATCACTCTTCTAATACTTTATTCTGTATTAAAAATCAAAGGTTATGCTGATTATCTAAAAATGAATTTCCTAATTCATATTACATTAATAGACATGACCATTTAAACTGTTGGTATTGCCAGTAGCTGAAATATATTTTATCGTATAAAATAAGATTCTATTTTTATTATATGCAGTTTAAAAGAAGATGTTAATTAGCTTATTAAAGCTTTTTTAGATTACTCTGTTTGTTAAATGTGTGCTTTTTCTGCTACTCAACATATAATACAATTATTCATAAGGTGGTCTGTTGTATACATTCTGTCTAGGTTCTTAAACTGCATTACAGTACGAGGAGGACCTCAAAACAGACAGCGTTTCAAGGAGAAAAGGGTTGAATTTAAAAAAAAGAGAAGGAGCCGAATATTTCTCTCACTATTGTTTAAATATGAAAGAGCTCCACTGACTTCAAAGGAGTTACTCCTAATCAGTCTAAGAAAGAGCAGAATTTGGCCGAGGGTTTTAAACACCACTTCTCCGAAAATGTTAGGCTACCATTTCAGGAACAGTGTTATGCCCTTTTTCAACTCACTTCCTAGTGTAAAAGAAATAAGATCATGATGCTTCAAAGAGCTGAGCAAATACTTAAGTTTATATATCGTGGTTGACAGTGGAACCAGTAATCCCTACCTCTGCCTTGCATTCCTATATGCATGGTGAAAAGATGAGCTTACCCATCAACTCATGTTTTAATTTAGAGAGAGTAATTCTTTATCAACTGTGAAAATGAAATAATTTCTACATATGTGGAAAGGTGATAAGTAACACAGCATGAATTGTCAAAAATAAATCATATCAAGCCAACTTAATATCCTTCTCTGACAGCGAGACAAGCTTTGTAGATAAATGGAAGCAGAAGCAGTGATAGATCTCACCATTAGTAAGACTTTAGATACTGTCTTAGATGACTTCTCATAAAGAAACTAGAGAAATATTGCATAGATTATTATAAGGTGGGTGAACTGTGCACATCTGATGGGAAAAACACATTCAGAGAGTAGTCATGCTTTACAATCAAATTGGAAGAGCATATCAAGTGGGATTCCACAAAAATCTGTCCTGGGTCTGATTTAGGGATGTTAAATATTGGCTAATTGAATAGTTGAGTAACCTCATTAATTCTTAGCAGTTAGTTAACTACTCTGTAGTCCACAGGAGCGGGGATGGCAGCCAGTGCACTCCATCTCCACTCCCAAGGAGTCCCCTGCCCACTCCGCACAGGATGCCAGGTGGGAGCTGGTCCATGAGGAGAGCAGATTTAAATAACAGCTCCCCTTGTGGACCGGCTGCCTGTCACCCTGTGCTGCTGCCTCTGTATCAGAGGCAGCAGCACAGGGTGGCAACAGCCCCTGTCCAAGGGGGGCGGGGGGGAAATGTGTGTAGTCTATAGCAGAGTTTCTGAAAGTGTGCCATGAAATCACTTTGAGAAACACATTAACTGGCGGCCACCCTGGTTTGTTTATTTACTGGCTCCATGGAGCTCCCATTGTCTCCATTTCGTCCTTTGCAGCCAAGGGGAGCCGCTCCGTGGCCATGGTGCCACACTTTCAGAAACACTGATCGATAGCATTAACCTATAAGCTTTTGCTTATTAGATAATCAGTTAATCAACTGTACTATTACATCCCTAGTGTGATTCTGTTCAAAATCTTTATAAATAATTGGGATAATGGCATGAAGAGTACATTTCTAAAGTTTGATGATACTAAGCTGGAAGGATTGCACAAGACTTCAGAGGACAGGATTAGAATTCAAAATGAACTTGATGCACTGGAGAAATTACCTGAAATAAATAGGATGAAATTCAAGACAAATGCAAAGTACTGTGCTTAGGAAGGAATAACCAACTGTACAAATACAAAATGGAAAATGACTGTCTATGAGCGAATACTGTAGGAAAGGATTTGAAGGTTGTAGTGGATCACAAACTAAATATGAGTCAACAATGTAATACTAATGTTCAATTTTTGCATAATTCTGGAGTGTATTAGCAATGATGTTGTAAATAAAACACGAGAAGTAATTCTTCCACCCTACTCAGCACTAATAAGGCATCAGCTGGAGTGTTGTATCTAGTTCTGGGCACCACATTTCAGCAAAGATGTAGGCAAATTGGAGAAAATACAGAGAAGAGCAATAAAAATGATTAAAGATCTAGTCTGGAGAAGAGAAGATGGAGAGGGAACATGATAGTTCTTCTTCAAGTGGCCCCGTGGGTGCTCCATTCTAGGTGTCAGGTCCCGTCCTGGCGCCACGGCTCGGAGACTTTTCATAGCCGTGCTCCACCGGCTCACACATGCGTGCTTCCCCAGGATAATGTTCGCGCCTTTGATCAGCCGCGCGTGAGCCAGCAACCGTCAGTTCCTCTCAACTACCTCAGGTCGCGGTCAGAGCTCCCTGAACTCTTTCTTCAGTGATGTTTTTAGATAGTTTTCTGTCTGTAAATAGTTAAAGTTTAGTGTTAGTCGTGTTCCTATTACTTGTTGTTCTGTTCAAAAAGAAAAAAAAAGTTTTTCTCTCAAAACCGCTTTTCTTTGAGAAGCGCTGCAGCAAAGCGCTAAAGTGGTGAAATTGACTACCCACAACAAGGATTACACAGGCATTCAGTTTCTCTAACTGTGCTGTCAATGCCTGGATCAACTGGCTTTAAAAAATGCTCAGTGTGCCGTGAAGCCATGCCAACGGCTGATGGCTATGATACTTGTATCAGGTGCCTGGGGGAAGCTCATGTCCCCAAAAAGTGCACCCATTGTCGCAAGCTAACCTCAAGAGCCCCGAGGGAGCGGGAGATGAAGACAAGGATGTTAATGTTTGGCAAGGCATTGCAGCCTGACCCGATCCTTCCTGCAGCCACAAAAACCCTGAGCGTAAGAGGAGAGCGGCTTCTCCGGGACCGGCTGTCTCAAAAACATCAAAGCCATCCCCAACACGCTCTCTCCCTGCGGCAGCCACAACATTGGCAGGGGCTTCCAAGGTGACCCCTGGGGGGGCTGGACAACTTGCTGGGGCTGGTATGAGATAACCCCCACCACCCAGAGTGAGAGCG